AAAACTACTTAATGGGTAAATAAGAGGCTGATCTAATTCCTATCCCTGGTATAAGAGTTAGCATGGGCAAAAAAATTTTCACATACAGATGAGACATCATCATAAAAATGTATTGGGGGGACTATAATTCATGCTTATTTCTCTAAAACCTCATTGTCAGGTTTTTGGACTGATAACATTATCTCCCTTATTTATGTATATAGGTTGGCTGGAGGTAAAAAGTGTTGTGATAGCTAATTTTTATCTGCAATAAGGGAATTGACAGAGAGGTGGATGTATTGACATATAGGTTGGCTGGAGGTAAAAAGTGTTGTGATAGCTAATTTTTGTCTGCAATGAGGGAGTTGACGTAGAGGCAGATGATTGTGAAGAGAAAGGCTGTTCTCCTCCAACTTCTGACCCTCAATGTTAAAGGCTAAAAGTATTTGGAGTTGCCGATTTTTTATTTTGATGTTGTGACTCGCCTTTCACAAACATGTTTAGAGTAGATTGTCTGGTCACATAGTTTTTGTCACCGTAAATGTCTTGTAGCTAGACTTATTGGAATGGATATGTCTGCTGATTTTCTCTCAAACCACTTGTTTTTCAGTTCCATTTATTTTAATTTTATTTGTCCATGTCTTTTAGTTTAAAAGCCTCGACTAATCCCTTTGTTAAAAATTTCTAAAGTCTGAAGTTGGTGGTTCAATCAGCATAGTAAGCTATTCACCTTTACTCAAAGAAACTTATTAAAGTTACTCTTATTCTCTTTCAGCTTTAATTACTCAACCAATTGCACATGGGCCTACCAGCAGCCGAGCGGAAAAGACGCTGAACACTGGTAGTTCATCCGAGGTTCGAATCCCGCGAACGGGCTGGCTGCATGGGCGTTTTCGTGGTCTTCCCCATGTGTAACGTGTATACGAGCCAGTTTCCCTTAGAAAGTCCTCCACGAAGGCATCCCTCCCCTTAGGCAGATAGCCCTCGTGTGCTTTGCCATAATTAAATAATTCAATCCAATCCAATCCTACCAATTGCACACAAATTCCCTTACTGTTATATTTTTTGTGTGAATGCACTCACCATATTGGTCGTTGTCTGCTTTCCCTCCTTTAAATAGTTTTGTGCCATTTCTGCATAGAGCATATACTTCTGTGCATTTGATTTTATGTGATGCCTTTCCTATGTTTCTGTTAGGGCGTTAATAATTATTATAGTGCTGTCTGCATTATCCTGTTTTGCTTTATATACTTTATTATATAATGCAGTTACTGTTTTGATATATTTTATGTGGCTATTTGGTTTATAAAAAAAAAAAGAGTTTTCTATTTTTATCCATTATGGAATCAAATGATACAAGCCTTTCAAATCTTAATTATAATTATTAATGTGTCCAATAATATTTCCTTTGAGATAAATATATATTTTATAAGATGGTGAATTTGATGGTGTCCATGACACTTAGCCAACAAGGACACTTAGCTAACAGGACATTTAACGAACAAGGACACTTAGTAGACAAAACATTTAGCCGACACAGAGAATTAGCCGTCAGGACATTTAGCTATGGGACACTTAACTGTCAAGACATTTAGTCAACCAGAGTGATGTTTAGCTGACATGTACCCAATAATTACTTAAACTTACTATCAATTGCAAAATTTCTCGACTTCTTCATAAGTTCACTATTTAAGTCATTTTTACCCACCTATCATTAGAATTCCTCTACCGATTCTTAAAAATGATTCTGAGGGTGTAAATTGCATTTCAGGAAAGAAAAAAAAAAAAAAGTAGTTCTAGTGTGGCTAGAAATTGGGCAAATCACTCTACTTCCTGACAGGGAAAGGAAATTTCATTAGTGGGAGGAGCGAAATGACTTTGTATGGGAATGAATGTAGTATGCAGTGTTGAGCAAAGTAGTAATGAAATGTGAAAGTATGAGAAATCTGAAGGCATTGGGAAGAGCGAGACTCATTGTCAGCTTAATGTCCTGTCGGCTAAGTGCCCGTGTTGGTTAACTGTCCTTGTGAGCTAAGTGTCCATGTGGGCTAAATGTCCTGTTGGCTAAGTGTCTGAGACCAAATTTGTTGACAATAATAATGAAGTTGTATTTTCAACTGTACGGTATGACACAAAATTTGACCTGCTTATAATATTTCTAATTTAAAAATATTAGAAGTCAGTTTATTTTGCATTAAACTGCGTATAGGAAAGATAAAATTAGACTTCAGATTTTTACATGTCTTTTTTATGTGTAATTCCCCCCCCCTTTAGAACTAGTAGCATAATTCCTATAGAAAGTTAATTAGTTTTCTTGTTAAAGCAACCATCATACTCAGTCTGTAAGTGTAAAAATGTCAGCAAAGGCTTATTTAGAGACTAATTTAAAGGGGAAACCCCCATACACACATTAAAAAAAAAAACAAGGTCCTTTTGCTGACAAACTGTTGTTCCTATTTCTTTTTTTTTTTTTTTTTTTTTTTTTATAATTGCATTCTTTAGTTAGTACAAAGTTTGTTATGCTATTTAATTATTGTGCAGTGTAATGAATAGCTAAATGATGTAACATCTAAACATTTTTGAAAATATCTTTCCTGTGTGAACTTTAAAATAATCCAGAAGAAAATTGGTTGAAGCTAGATGTGCCAGTTAGGAAAATAAAAGCTGTATATGTAAATTAAATTTTTTCCAATATATTTTATCCATAGCTATGAGTTCTTATGGCCTGCTGTTTCTAATTTCTTCTAGATACACAGTAATTAGTTATTGCTTAGCAGTCATAAAAGTACTGAAATCCGACTAATCTAGACTCATGCAGAAAGCTTCCAAAAACTACAGAGTTGCCAGTCCACAGCAGTTTTTTTACAGTATTCCAGTGATTTTTAAATTGAGTTGTTTAATTCTTTCAAGATGTTACCCTGAGAGATCATACTGTAATTTGGGATTAAAAATCATAAAATCCTGTAATTATTAAATGAACTATAATTTGACTAATTAGCTAACAGAAATTGGAATTTTGAGAGTTTTTTTTTTTTTTTTAACTAATGCAGGGTAGTCATAAAGAAACTTTCCCAACATCCGTTCTGGTTGACCAATTGAGATAAGATTGCAAATATATTTATTTGGTTGTATGCGCTCAAGATTCTGTGAATGTCAACACAGGGGTGTTCATGGTTACAATTATAGTTACTAAAACTCGAAAATGTCAGATGGCAATGGCAACTTTTACTAGTCGCAAAATGTTCAGTGCATGCCAAAGTCCTAAACAGCGTTGGAAAAGCAGCGATATGTCCAAAAATGGACATCTTATGCATACACAGAAAAAGAGTTCTGAAAACTGGCCAGTGAAACACGATCTGGGCACATGCAGAAAATTTGCATATGACAGAGGCAAGATACCAATCACAGAATGGCAATCGCCAGATATTCAGCGTAGGAAACCAATAAAATACCAGGCGAGTATGTGAAGTTGTCATTTAATAACTCGCACATGGTGGGAAAATGATTCTTCCTGGAAAAGTTTGTAGTAAATTGATAAAACTCTATTATCAATTTGGGATGAATGCTGCAGAAGTCTTGCATGTGCCTGCATCTCAGTGACGTGCCCCATTTGCTCCACAAGCTGTGCATGATTTAGTGCATGAATTCAAAGATACAGAAGTGCATCACACAGTAACTGCAGGAAACACGGTGCATGTGTTGGATATTCCGAAGACTACGGTCCTTAAGCTACTGCACCTGTTCTCCGCATGTTCCCTACAAGTACCCCAGCACGTCTTGATGTTGTGGTTGGGGGACCCACAAATACTTCTGGACTTTGCAAATTAATATTTGATATGATATAATGCTGATAACGACTGGCCACTTCACATACTATGGACAGACAATGTACATTTCAACTTAAATGGCAACATTAACACCAAGAATTATGTGCACTGGACAGAGACAAATCCTCACACTGTGACACCAGTACCATTATTTGATGCCAAAGTGACCAAAGCCACATTTGTTCTCGGCCCATTCTTCTTTGAGGAAGCGACGCCAATAGGCTGTGAAACATGCTCTGTAGCAGGTTCTCTGTATACAGCCTTGCTGCAAAATTTTGTACTATCGGAATTTTGTAGGCGCAATGCACTCAATGATATCATTCAAATGTAAGATGGTGCACCTCCACATATAGCGAGGTTTGTTAAAAGGGAACAGCACTTTGGTGATCGCATCATCTCATGCCATTATCCTTTTCTGTGGCCTCTGCGATCTGCCACTCTGATGCCTATGTATTTCTGGTTTTGGGGATATCTCAAATCTAGAGTTTACCTATGCAGTCCACAAGCTTTATTGGATTTATGGACTCTATATGGCATGAGATTGCAAACATCCCTCATGTCTTGTTGCATTCAGCGGTAATGTCCACTGTCCCCGCATGCAATGTATACTTGCCTGTGAGGGCACCCGTGTAGAAAATGTTTGATATAATAAATGTATTTTTTGTCCGATATGTGTTTTCATCAGTGATCGGTGTCATGTCTCTGTCATATGCAAATGTTCTGCATGCGCCCAGATCGTGTTTCGTTGTCCGGTTTTCAGAACTCTTTTGTGTATGCACAACGCGTCTCTTTTTGAACATATTGGTGTTGTTCCAATGCTGTTTAGGACTTTCGCATGTTTTGAATATTTTGCGACTGGAAAGAGTTGGTGTTGCCATCTGACATTTTCGAGCTTCTGTAACTATAACCATAACCATTAATGCCCCTGCGTTGCCATTCACAAAATCTCGAGCACATACCTCCGAATAACTATATTTGCAGTCTCATCTCGATTGGTTAACCGGAACAGACACTAGAAGTGCAGATGTTGGCAAAGTTTCTTTACGACCATCCTGTATTTAGTAAAGGAGAATTCTCAAAATTTTCACTACAGAATATATTTGAATTTTGTTAGTAATATATTTTTTACCGATAAGAAAAAAATCATAATGTTGCTCATTATTTTACAGTAGTATTATTATCCATTTATTTCAGCTTTGTCTTTCATAATTTTGTGAGTATGAAGGTAGAAGATAAAGTGTCGTATCCATTAGAAGGCTTAAATTTGTCTTCATTTTCATCTGGGCCATTTTCTGGAGAACTTGTTTATGATTTGCAAGCTTGTGTTTGCCACTTTGGGGGTAAGATTTTTAGTACAATTCGTAATTTTTTTAACTCAACATTTCAAAAGCCAAATATGCACAAGTCATTAAATTTATCTCCAAAAATCTGACAAGTCTTCTTATTAGATTAATGTATTAGCAAGTTGTCTTTAACCAAGAACTAAGGTAGGCATCAAATATGACCAATAAGCATTATTATCATTTATGTAAATGTTTGTGTTTTACTATTTGTACTTTTTTATATAATAACATTTTATATTATTTGTTTTTATTTATTAAGGCATTTTTATGGTAATTTTATATTTATTTACTGTGTGTTTTGTATAAACACTACTTTATTATCATATTTTTGCATTTGAAAGTGCTTAAATGATTTATAATATTTGTAACTTTGAAAAGTTGGAACTATGAAAAGAATTAAATGAGAATCAGATATGTTTAATATTGTTCACTTTCTTTGGTGATAAATTTTTGCCCCCAAATCAGTGACATTTGGCAATTTCTAATAAACTTGGTTTCATTTGGTAAACTTTGAAAAATCATATCTTTGAGATACTAAGAACAATTTTTTCTAGAAAGTTTTTCTACAGCTATTTTTCTTAAATACTGAAAATTACTGCTTGAAGCTGCAATAAATGTTCTACTTTTCTTCTTCATTTTTTCAGCTATTTATTCAGAAAATCTTAATGTATTCATAACAGTATGGGTCTCCCTGTTGCAATTGTTCAACATTATTCCATAGGCTTTATTATAAAATGGTCTTAACATTTAACATAAGTTAAAACCCATGGACCAGGTGATCAATATGCTCTGAATAAATCGTCTCTTTTAAAGTTGTGTTACGTTAGCTACACAGTATCTACCAGAAGACCTTTCTTCTGGAAGATTCAGCGAAATTACCACCGTAGTTGCCATGGTGTCTGCTAGAACTCCTGGTCCTAGATAACCCACACAAATATTTAAAATTATTCCTAAAACTTTTAGGGCTTTCAGAAAGATAGTGGACAACTCTGTGTGCAATATCATATGCAAGAACAGTGTGTAAATATTTTCTGAGATAAAGCTTCTGAAGTTCCTTTCCCTCCCCCCCACACACACAGCAAGATGAAACTTCTTTATTTTGGATATCTTTGATCTAGACTGTCTTACCTACATCATAATTTTTATTAAAAGTTTTTTTATTATAGTATATCTTCTGTCCATGTCCTTACTAGTGTATAATGTAATATATATACATTTATATATAAGTGCATACACATTTTATGTTGTTATATATTATAGAATAATGTTTATAAGTGAATTAGAGAAATTTATATTGACTAGAAATTAATTATATAAAATATCCATATTTTTAACAGTAATGCTTCTCTTTCAGTAAATTTTAGTTGTAAACTACAAGAAATAGCTTGTGATAACCTTATTATATTTATTTATTTTAAATATTAGGTGTTAGTGCTGGTCATTATACCTCCTATTCCAAGCATGCTATGTCCAATGAATGGTATTACTATAATGATGAAAATGTGAAAAAAGAATCTCCAAATACTGAGGAATGTGTCAGTGAATATATTCTTTTTTATCAAAAGAGGTAGCAAAAACTTTTTACTTTTATATTTAAACCAATTACTTTGTTCTGTTTAATAAATATGAAGAAAAAATATTAAATTGCTTGGGAACACTTTTATTAATTTCTAATTTACAATGCTTCTTTATGTGGAAGTTTACAGTGAACCCTCTTATGAGGACGATGGGTTTGGAAAACTACCAGCATTTTTAACATAAACAAATATCACCAGTAGTCTAAAGGAAATCACTTCACATAAGATTAAAAGTGTGTGGAGTTTTTTTTATAGTCGTCTAAGGAAGTTTCACTGTATTTTTAAACCTGCAATTTTTGTGATATGCTTTATTTTAGCAAAAAGTATATAATAAGTTTTTATTGATGTTAGAGATGCCTTCATGGAAGTATTTTTATCATTCACATCATCTCGCTAGTATTACCTTGTACAAGCCATAAGATTTTTATGTATATTTCATGAAGCTTCACATATAGCCAGTAATTTTATCTTTCCAGTTAAACTAATTAAGAATTTACATTATTAAATTCACTTTAAATTTAAGTATTTTAATAATATATCTGATAGACATAATTCATTTCAAAATTAATTTTATTACTGATATCTCATTAATAGTTTTTAAAAATTTGCTGTAGTATTATAATTTATTATTGTTGTTTCTAGTGTCACGTAATATTGTTATATGCATACAGGTTTGTAATGGATTGACTGCACACAGAACCGATGAAAGCTTAATAAAATTATTTTCCCCAAAAGAAATACCTTACAGTTTAACCCTGGAGGGGTTTACTAACATTTTTATCATCAGTATTGTTATTATAATTTTTATTACCAGAGGAGTTAAATTTAGAAAGGTTAGGGAATTTTGAATAACCCCTAAAGTTGGCTGTATGGCCAGTTTCAAGGCATTTGACTTCCGTTTAAGTCTTTTGGTTGTTTGGTCTTTAGATGTTCTGTGCGGTCCTGCACATTTTATGCATCACAGTTTTAATTTGCAGTTTTCAGAATGGTGGGGGAATTGTTAGCAGTTATGACACTGCACAACACCCCCACTCACTTTATTCAATTATTTCAACGTAGAATAATGAGAAATAAGTCAGATCATAACTTTCCTCAACACCTGGAGTGTTCTCAATTTGTACTTGAAAAGGAGGCATAGGTGTGCACGATTTAAGCCAGTGCATTTGTGAAACTTTTCTAACCTTAAATCCCAGATTTTTCTAGTTAGTTTTTCTATATTTTCAGGTGAACAATATATTTGTAGACTTCTGACTACCACTTTAATTGGCTTATCATGCTTTTTCAGTAACAGGTAATAATCCACCTGTGGTGCATCTAAGTTAGTGTGTTATTCCCCTATGAGCATCTGTAGTTTTAGGGAAGATTTTCAGGAATCCTCCTGAGACTTCACCTGCAAGGTTTAAATTTGTCTCGCTCTTTTTTTTTTTTTTTTTTTTTTTTGAGAAAGTCTAAATATTTTATATCTGGTTTAGCCATAATAGGCTTTTGGTTCAGATTTTACTATCTGAAATTTCTGTTTGTTTTTACGACTGCCATTTTGAGTGTGAATTAGCATTTTGGAGGAATATTTTTGGCACTTCACTGATAAACATGGTTATCTTTTGAATGCATAAATAAGACTGTGGATTATAATTTGTTCCTATTTTTAATATAAAAATTGGTGGGATACTCGAGTTTCTGAGTATTCTCAGAATATTCAGTTTCTGAGTTTCTCGAGTTTCTGGTATCTTGAAATGTATAGATGATTAAGTAAAAACATTCAAAGAAACTCAAGCTGTGGAGAGAAAAATATTTGTTCCTCAATCCCAATTATCTCTTGTAATTTGTGTTTTTTCAGCAAAAATAGACTCAGTTATGCTTCCCTAGCCACACTACTCAACTGACTTTCCTTCTGTGGATTTTTTTCTTTTTCCAAAAGTGAAATTAAGCTTCAAAGGATTTGAATTCAATACCATCAGGGAAGGGGGGAAAGCAAGCAAAGATTATCCAAAGAGAAACATATTCCAAAGAGAAACTTGTCATGATTACTACTTGAATTGGAAATGACTCTAGAAGTAATACATCATTTGAAAAGAAGAGTATTTGAAAGTGACAAACTCTAATAATGCATTAGTCTAAATAAATAAAGAGCTCAGAAACATTTTGAACAGACCTCATATATAAAGACACTAATGTAATTGTATTCATATTTACGAGCATATTTAGTAAAGAATGTTATTGTGCATGAATTTGAAGCAAAGTTATTTCACAATTTTCTTTTTTTGCTTTTTCTTTCAGATAGCCTTTCAGAAGCCTCATCTTTCATAGCCTGTCAAGCAATAAGCTAAATTTATACATGAAATGTGTAATTTCAGGACACAGTACAGTTTTAATTTTTGCCATGCTCACAAGAAATAAACAATATTTTCGATAGCTGTCAGATATATCACTGAGCTAAAAACTGGAAGTAACTCTCTAGCATTTTAAGTAGCTCACTTCTTTTTGTCTTTAAGTGTTTTATCAGATCAGTATTATATTTGATATAACTGGATGTGATATTTAAATGTGTTCATGTTTTCAAAGAAAGTCAGTGAACTGAAAATCATTATATCTGACAGAATGTAAAATAAAATTGCCAGTTATTAATTCATGTGTACAGATTTTAAACAGGAAAAATTAAGAAATGTTTAAGCATTTATTTGAAGAAAAAATTAGTGCTGGTTGAAGTTTTGAGGTTAATTTTTGTGACTTGTCTTTCCCCATTCTTTTAGATCATTAAAAAAATTTCTAATATTGTGTTTTGTTTATTAGCAAAATTTTAATTATGCTATAACAAAATATATTGATGTTATTTAATTTAATGTCTGTAGGTTTTTTTTATAAACAGTAAAATGTATGTCAGCTGGGTGCTTCTTTCACAATGCACTTGTCACACAGGAAAGAGTTTTGTTCAGATTTTATTATTTCCAGACATTGTAATAGTGACATTTTAAATTTATTTTCTAACATGTTATTTAAATTATGCATATTCATTAAATTATATTTATTTTATTGTGAATTTTTTATAAGTTATAGGACAGTACGTATAGCATTGTGTACACCAAAGAGCCTTGTGATTACATTAGGACCACTTGCTTAATAATATATAGGACTTCTTCCAGCCTGTAAAATAGCTACCACTATACCTTTATAGTATTGGATTCAGTGGGCTGACAACAAGTATCATTTAATATTTGGTACTGTAACTTCAACAGCATATTCTGGCATTCCCTTACATTTTGAGATGATACTTATGTAGCGAAAATCAGGTCCTTAGTTGAGAAATTCAGGTCTGGTGAATTTAACTGCTGTAAATGTCAAATGAAATTCATGTTTCTTGAACTCCTCCTTGATAATGCTGATAGCACTGTAGGTCATATTGTCTAGCTGGTAATGGTCATTAGTACAATCTGTTATTTTAAAAAGGCATTTGAAGGCCATTTTCTGCTTTCAGGCTTATTTTCTAACCATGATAAAGACAGCTGCAATAGTTGATTGAATCTCCTAATCTCCATCACCGCAACTTCATACACACTTCATTTCCTATTGGCTTCTGAAAACACACAAATAAGAAAATTAAATGTGTGTGTGTAAAATTAAATGTGGCTCCTGAAAACACACAAATAAGTGCTGCACAGTGATGGCACCATTACAATCATAAATGAAGGAGGGTCAGAAAGTCCTTGAAGCAGCCATTTTAAAGCAACAGAATATTGCTGGGAACACAGCTGCCATGAATAGGTAATTTGGTCCACTGTGAGGTTCACATATTTGACAACTCTTAGAAATATTTCTACTGGTGTAATCCTAAAGTTTCTCATTAAAAACAGCATCATACCAACTTTGGCCAAGGATGCCATTTTGTAATATGGGAATCGATGTATATCCATTAGGTTGCTTGTGTGACAGCATTAAATGCAATTTATTGTCCTGAAACCACTTCTGGCAGAATGGCTCAGTGCTGTAAGTAATGATCATTACCAGCTAGGAATGTATTTAATGTGAATATGTGAGCTTTGTTCATAGTGAGGTTCAGATGGCTGATGACTGTCAAGAATTACTGCTGTGGGATAATGGTCGGTAATTTTCTCTGGGATCATTACCCACAGCATCATATCTCCATTGCTAGCCTGTAACAGACTAACATTATATCCAAATGCCATTAATGATAAATATTCAGCCATCTCTGTAATACTCCAGGAATGTGATTTCAGTAGATTAGCTTATTTTTTTTAAGTATGCAGAATCCGTTGTCAATGATATTATGCCTATTTAATGCATTTTCATTTAAGAAATGCAATTAACATTGGGACCTGATAGGGTCTGTGGCTATGCAGGGTCATGCACATGAGATTTTGATAAACTTTGTATGATGAAACAGTTCTTTATCCATCACTTTTGTAACTGTAAGTGATTTTTCGAACCACAGCTCTGTAATCATTATGAACAATACTCAATAGTTATTGCTGTCATCATAGAATTATTATTTGTTATGCAACTGAAGAATGGCTTATCATTTGCCTGTTATTGCATTGGTTTTAATAAACAACTTCCAACAGCACATCAGCTGTTCCTTAGCAGAGATACTGATTTCAAGGCACCATGCTATCAAAATTTTTTTAATTTTGAAATTTCTAACTTCTAGGTCACAAATTTCAGGCAGGATACATAAGCAGTTTTTACCTTTCTGGCAATAGATATATTATTAAAACAAGGCTAGTTTGGGGTTTTTATATTATTGACAGATACTGAATTTAATGAATTTCATTCTAAAATCAAAATTTATTTACCAGCATTACTATTTCCTAAATTTGCTAATAAATATACCAAATAAAGTTATCTAAAATGACATTTGGGCACTGTGCAATAATATTCTTCCATAACAGGTATGACTGTTTTTTTCTTATACTTATTTCTGTAGGCTCTTTGGTGTATATATTCATTCAGAATTCACATAGCTTCATTTTGTAAAGATCAACAGTGAATGGGCAGATGAACTTCTTGAAACTTATGTTTCTTATTGAATGTGGAATTCATACATTAATTATGTTGCCAAAGTGATTTTTGTTCTCTGCTGAGCATGTGTTGATGCAGTGCTTCATGTTTGTGATAATTTAATATTAAGTGTAGCATCATCAATGTCCATGATCTCATCGATTATAAGTCTTCAAGTGTCTGCAGCTTATTGCAAAAAAAAATTTTTTTTTTTTTTTTTTTTTTTTTTTTTTTTAAAAAATGTCACAAAAAGAAGTCTGACCTGACTAGTTGGGGTAATTAGAGTGTCCACAGATTCTTCAAAAGTTTGCAGTTACAAAAAAATCTGTTCTTGATATAAAGATCAAATTATGCTTTCTTGCTGTAAAATCTCAGCTGTTTTTGCATCATTTGCTAGCTGTATATTCTGTGAAAATCCCCATGCCAGGTTACCAAATGTAAGAGTATACATGATATAAGTATCTCCATGAAGTACATGTTCTGAAACATTGTTATATTTATCACTGTTGTAGCCTGTAATTTTTTTATCCTGTTGATAAGAACCAATGAATAGAAGAATTTGCTTTTCAGGGATATTTGCGTACTTTACAGCTATTAAGAATATTTTTGTTGGTATAAATGTGCCTTATAATTTCCCTCGCAAATTTCACTTACAGCACCAACTCCAACTTTGGTCTGTATCAGTCCAATGTGTCATAGCCTCAGGTTATAATAGACAGATATGTGCCAGGTCATCTATACAGCACTATGACATGAATGATATTCATCATCATATTTTTGAAACCATTTATTTATGTTCCTAGACTGCAGTTCTCTGGTTGCTGTGAACATGGATAACTCATTGCTGGCCTTTGTCATCAGTGAGCAGAGGTTGAGCTCATTGCTGAATCTTGCATCATTTCTTATATGTATTTTTACAAGTGGCAGTCTTTTTTTTTTTTTTTTTTTTTTTTTTTTTTTTTTTTTTAATTCTGTAGTGTAGACAAAAGTAATTGTAGAATGTGGGACTGTTGCGGTGATATTTTAAATTCGCTTGGCAGAATTTGATGAGAATAAAAAAATGTTTTACAATTGTATAATTTCCAAGAATCGGAATTGCCATTTTAACAAACCCCAGTATCTTTTTGTGAGATTTTAAGAGAATTTTTATTAGTAAGTCATGAATACTCTTACACTTGGAGAAAAATGTTATTGAATGAGATAGGAAACATCAATATTTTGACACTGCACTGAAAACCAAAAATATGCAGCAATGCTTCAGTATGTGCTCTCCAGTAATATGAAGCTTACTTAATGTATATCACGTATTGCTATGTATTTAACAAGACTTCCAAAAATTTCTGTTCGCCTATTGTTGATCAATATTTGGAACCTCCTAATTTGTTTCTGTATGAATTTTCATGCATAATCATAATTTATCTCGCTGAATTAGCAACTCTGCATTCAATGTTGAATTTTTTTCTTTACATTTAATTTATATTTGTGCCATAGCATGAATTAATATGAGATAACTGTACTGTAATTATTTAATAATTTGAGTTAAAGGGGAAAAAAGGGTGTCTTTTTTTATGTTATAATTTATTGTCAATAACATACTGTTTCCAGTAATTGGTACTTGAAACTTTGTAATAAATGGTTTTTTACTCGATGCATTGTTGTTGTTGTTTTTGTGTGTTTTAAACAAATGATAGTAATTTGGATTATCTTTTAGAAATGTTAGCAAACTGTAATAAGAATTTTCACAGTTTTTGGTATGTATGTTTCATGCAATCCTTAATTTGATAAAAAGTCTTTTTTATTATTATTATTTCTAGATCTCAGGGCTATTCATCTGTAAGGTTAAAAGTATTGAAATTGAAACTCGGGTGTATAAATTTTAAATGATAATGACAAAATTATCAGGTTTAACCTTTTTGCGACGGCGCACCTTTGTTTAAGACACTCGTGTGGGACAGAAAGGAATCAAAGGCAGTCACCGTACAAGACGGAGGTTTTGCATCGCTAAGCCTAATTTTATAAAAAAAAATGTTTCGCTTCTAGCATCGTAATTTTTGGTATCATTTTAGATTATTACTTGAGCTCTTATATATGTTAAAATTAGCACTTAATAACGTTTTTTTCTTTATTTTACATGAAAATATACTTAAAAAATTGCTTACCTTGTAAAATAATTTTTGGAAGCGCTATTCAAGTTAGGCCAAAGTTTTAATTGATAAAAATGCATCAATAAAGTTTAAAATTAATAAAACAGACAAAGACTATTTACAGTAAAAAGTAACAAAATTTAAAATGAAGACTGAGTGTGGTAAATCTCGAAGCACAAAGAAGTATCACTTCTAACTCTTAGAAAAAGTATCACTTCTTTCTAACTCTTTAGAAAATGAATCATCACCCTCATGTGCGTTAATAAATGGTTCATTGACCATGCGAGGATATTCTTCCTCTAAAAAATGGTGCCTTCCTGCCATAATAGACTGGAGGTGAGGTTTTCCGAAACAAAAAGAGAAGAAACGGAAATATATCTGAAGGCAATGCAAAACGTCACAGTACTCCACATACTAACCCTAAAAGACCGTGCATAGTAAAGGAAAAAATAGAATAAAAAAAGGAATTGGATATAAATCAGACATGCGAATGTTTTCATTAGCACGCAGCGATTTAAAGAGCTCACCTCTGTTTACGCTTTCCCCCCCACCCTCACTAGAACTGATGAGTAAAATGCCAAAGTCAAGCAGAATATATCTAACTCAAGGTCAGGAACCTAAAACTGTGTTCATTTCAAAAGTAATGGACATAGTATGCCATCTAGTGGCCTTCAGAAAAATGTTCCAGCTTAAAATGCGTATACGCATCACCCGTCCTCTGAATGCGACCTCTAGCGATGCGTGCATGGGACGCCCGGCTGTAAGAGACGTTCTTAGGAAATGCGTATATGGGACGCCCGTCCTGAGAGGGATGAAAGTGATACATAATGATTATAGTAACATTTGAAATATTGCAACATTACATGGGAAATTGGTTCATTTTTTAAAATCATGAGGTTATGTGAAATATATAACTTATTCATTTAGTTAATAAATATGGTTTGCACCTAAGAAAATGATATATTAAATTTAGCATTTATTCAACTAAATATATCACACTTTTAAAAGTGTTTTAGCTAATGTAGTATCCAAAAATTAAATGTAAAACTAATTAGATGATAAATATATATCTAGTTATAATAAAAGTTTTTACCAGAAAATGTTCTTAAAGTTAGAAAAAAAAAAACTATAAATGCAGTGCCTTTAGTGCAGGTAGTAATCATCATCCTAATCTGTGATTTTCTGCCAAAATTTTGGTAGTTTTTCAAAGCCTTCGGCCCAGAAACTCGGTGGCCATACATCCAAAAATGAATCAACCTCATTTTGGACATCATGTGAAGAATGGAAGATAGCATCAGCAAGATGTAGCTGCAGGTGCGAAAAAATGTAGAAGTCTGAAGGAGTGATGTCTGAGCTGTATGGTGGGTGTGGCAAAAAATCCCATTTTGAGTCCCTACAGAGTCTAGGTAGTAAGTGCAGACATGTGTAGTCTTGCATTATCTTGATGCAACATTAACTTTTTGCGTCAGAACTCACTTCGACATTTTCCCTTGGTAGCACAGCATCTCGCTGTACACTTTACTGTCAAGGGTTTTAACTTTTTCCAGATACTCTTTTTGGATTATACCACGACACCCCTCCCCCCCCCCTAGATACAAAGCATGATCTTTTTGTTAGTCTTACGCTTTGCGACACTGCTGATAGGCTTATTGGGTGCAGAACAACCCCATTTGGGGATGTGTTGTTGAAGTAAATCCACTTTTCATCACAAGCGGCGATCCAATCCAGAATTTTGTGCTTGCATTGATATTCAAATAGATTAGTGCAGTCCCAAAGACATCTGTCCTTATCTGCTTGAGTCAGCTCATGCAGTACCCAGCGATTGAACTTGTACATCAAGTTTATGCAATGCATATCACAACTAATTGATATGGTGCTAACATATAACTCCGTAGCAAGCTCTCGAGTGGTTGCATACTGATCTTCATTGACAAGTTCTCACAGTCAGCCCTTATCAACATCAGCTCTGCTTTTTGAATGTCATAGTCCTTGTTTTTGAACTTTCAGTACCAAACCTTCACAGTGTTATATGATACAACATTGGTACCTAAAGCTGTACACCTGATTTAGTGACATTCTGTACCTGACTCTTTGCAACAGAACTGGAAGTGAATGATGGTTCTAATCTAGTTGTGTTATAGTTCCATTTCAGACACCTTAACGATATTTTTACAAATTCCACAACACAGTGTTCTGAAGCAAGTGTATTTCTTTCAAATGCCAAAAATTGTTTGACAGAGTATGATTAAACACGGCAGCACAATTGATGCATGTGGTGGCAGGAAACTTTAGTTAAAACCCAATAAAATGTGTAATTTATACACTTACTAACTAAAATGAAAGGTATTCCTCAATACATTTACTATTGGGTTGAAACATGAGTAATGTCCATTTATATTGTGTTTAAAATTAGACTGTAAAAGTAAAATGTATTGGCATAATGTTTTGTGTTATTTGAAAGAGAATCTTTCCCTATACAAGATGGCATATTTGATTTTTTGTCTGCAGCTAATTTTTGTTATTTTTTAGATCATTAAAAATGGAGTGTCAAGCCAACAAAAGTAAGCATTTTTGGCACCTTCTTTTTTGCATTTAATCGAGGTGCCAATGCTGCAGAAGCTGCCCAAGAGATTTGTGAAGTGTCTGGAGTCAAGAAATTAGTTTGCCAAATTCAAAAAGAGAAATTTCGACCTCGAAGACGCTGCTCGTTCTGAACGACCAAATGAGTTTGTTGAAGAGCGTTTGAATCAACTTATGCACAAAGACGCACGTTAAACCACTCAAGAATTAGCCAAACAAATGGGTTGTAGCCAAATGACTATAGTTAGACATCTTGGGTCTAACATCTTGGTCTTGGGGGAAAGTCCAAAATCTCGAATATTATTGATTAATTTATTGTTTTTTGTTATGTTAAAATAAAAATTTTTAAATTAAAAAAACGGCCATTACTTATGTTTCAACCCAATACAATGAACTAAGATTTGCACTCAAAATTACAGGTACTTTGGAGATCAGTGAAAGGTATAGGAGATTGTCTGTGATGGTGGTTATTAACGTGCATAATGAATTTACCCCATTCTTTGGGATTTCTCGTTTTTGGTTTAATATGTTTGAGAGCAGAAAAAGCATTTTCATACACATATATACTGTCAAACATCGATAACATTTGCAAAGAGAATTTATGTAGTTTGGGAAAACGATCTTTAAAAATTAAGTTTCCAGAAAGTTTAGTGACATCTCACACATTTCAGTATTGTTGAATGGAACTGCCGGAAGGTCACAAATTTCCATTTGAAGGTCGCAAGGCACTTCATTTATTTCAATCTCCATGGGATTGTTTAACAATGAAGGTTTTTTTTTTTTTTTTTAGGAAATCAAAATCCTGGAACTTGTTCTTGATATCAGTAATTATTTCATGAAACATACACAAATATGGGTCATTTTCTTCTTTCAGCTGCTGACAAAATGGAAAGTGTACCATATTATTTGCCTTCACTGCAATTTGCATAACATTAAGTGTTTTGCAAAATCCTTCAATATGTCCATAAAGCTGGGATATATTTTATTTTTTGTTTTGTAGTTTCAAGTTTAAAGCATTTAGATAGGTTGTTAAATCTGTCAGAAAAGCAAAATTATTTTAAAACTGGATTTCTTCCAATTTTTCTTAATACTCATTTTTGTATTTTCTTTTTTGAGAAAAGCAAGAATTTTATTCCTCAACCCAAAAAACTGTTGCAGATAATTCCCAGCACTTAGCAAAAGCACTTTACAGTACAATGAAATGTCACCTTACTCAGCATCCAAATTGTTCTCAAATACAATAAATGCTCTGTGTCTCTGGGCTTTGCTTCCCCTTATTAAATTTACAATAGTTCTCATTGTGGGTCTTAGAATTTTTATTATTTAATATAATTATTTATATTTATTATTTAAAGCAGTAAGAGAGGTCTTTTGTTTTTCAAAATGTTTAACTAACATTTTTGTTTCCACTAAAGAAGGGCAAGTGCCAGCAAAATGAATAAGAGGGCTGCTGTGCAGCAATTTCGTGCCAAACTGGCAAAGTTGTTTAAATAATTCTCACCAGTTCGCTAGAGTGAACTTCGTATGTGACAAATCAAATCTCGCTTAAATTATACATTTTTAATACAAGTACGATTTTTTAGATTCAGTTTCAAAAGAAAGCCTATTAAAGGTAACTTGTTCAACATGTCATTCTTAGCTAGGAGTAAACAAAAGTACTGGCAGAAGAGTTAGGTTTAACTGTGAGACCTGAATTTAAGATTGCTTAGCTGCATAAATTCATTACTGAAAGTTCCGGATATGATGAGGAATTTACTCGTGAACTACTGGCTGCAATCAGAGAAGAGAGAGAAAAGGAACTAGAAAGAAAAGAAGGGGAAAAGAACACGATTGAAGACCGGATTAGAGCTTTTGGAGCTACAGGAACTTCAATTGGAAGCAATGGCTGCAAGAGCACAGCCAGTAGAAACTACGCAGTTTTACC